TATAATACTTTTTAGGAAAAACATAATAATACATAAAATTTTGGAGCTGGTCTTGAAAAACACTAATTATACATGTTTTTAATGGTTTTCATTGTTTGTAGACAATCAATGTTTTTAAATACAAAATCACTTTTAAATTATTATTAATTTTAAAATACCTTTCACTTGATATTTTGAAATTTGAAATCGGTTCAGTAGTTCAAAAGTAATATTTATTTTGATAAAAAAAAAAAAACATTTAAAAAAATCAATTTTTTGGACTACCTTAACGTAGAAATGGTAGCCCTTATGACAAAATAAAACAAATAAGGATCTAATAATTTGCAATAAGGAACAAAACTCTCAATTTTTACGAAATTCTAAGAACCACTATATCGTTTTGCTATGGAATGGCTGTATATATAAAAATATATGGAAAACGAAACGAAACTATTTATATGCTTTGTTTGATTTCGGAAATTTGTGCAAAATGTTATTAACTTCAGGCCAAGTGCGCCCGCATACCTACAAGCTCATACATAGGCCGACCCGTCGTGACAGTCCTGCCAGGTGGTGGTACCGACATCCCGTCGATTCTCGAACTCTTCGATGTGGCAAACGCCTCCTTGGCGCGGATCAGGGTTCTCTAGCACTTCAATCTTGATTCGCAGCCAGTATCCGCTACGCTTTCCACCGCGACTGGTGGATCTCGCTCTGGAATGTGCACCGCTGACTCCCTCCGCTGATGACGACGACGACTATGTTCGGTCCTCGGCAGCCTTCCTGGCTCGCTTTCGTCAGTGACGGTTGCCAATCAAACTTGGCAAACTTACCCTTGACTGGGTCTCGTTGCTTTCCTGGTGCTCGTGTGGAAGAAGCTTCTACCCGTTGGACGGATGTTTTCCTCAGTCTAGCGCCCCGAGCAAAGTCTGAGATCAAATTGAAATCTAAATTTGATGTTGTGATTTCGCTAATAATGATTACTCAGGTTGCTGTCGTTTTGGTCGTTTTAACGGTTAAAATATCAAAATTGAAAGCAAACAAATCTTCCTGTGATATCACATTGAAAACTATTTCTGCTATCAGTGAGAGCAAACTGAAAACTAAATTTGATATCCATTTTTCCTGTTGATAACAAAACAAGTATTCAATTTGATGTTATGCTAAGGCAATGAAAACAATCCCGCAACAACATATTTTTCAAGAACAAGTGTACAGCAAAATGAAAACAAAATTTTGTATCAAATTTGTTTTTTTTTTTTTCCTTTGGTTTGTTTTTTCCGTCGATCTTGTTTTCCGTGCTGAGCACCAATGCTACCGACGTGCCAGCAAGGCAGCTCCCACACCTGGACCCTGGACTCATGAACCGGGGACCAACGGCTTTACTTCCCATCCGAAGGAAGGCGTGATCAGAGATGTTATGCCTCAGAACATCCCGGCGGCGCCGACTGGTATTGAACCCAGGCCTGCTGGGGTGAGAGGTAATCACGCTTACCACTACATCACCGGCGCCGTTGTATCAAATTTGTGAATTGCGAAACTAAAATCAAATTATGATTTCAGTTTGATGTTGATATCAAAACTTGATTTCAATTTGCTGTCATTTTGATGCTGGACTTTGCTCGGGGCGGGTACCTTGCCGGGTTCGAACAACCTCGCGGCGATCCCGGACAATCTTCCCGTTAACAGGGCTGAATCCGCAGTGAAGCCCTGTGAGTACAACGAGCTTTGTTGTTTTGTGTTAATTTGCGCAAACGGATTATAAACTTACTCTCGACGGGACCTTGTTACTGCTTCGCGGATCTGCTGTATGAAACTCGTGTCCGTTCGACGGAGGTGTTCGTCACCGTTACACTTCGACTTTCCGGGAACCACGTAGGGTGACTGACGCGGATCAAATTTCCGTTTTTCCTCCAAATGCGCACGTTTTGCTCACCCACGCCGCCCACGTTCGTGATTTGCTGGGGTACTTCGAACAATGCGGATTCATGTGAGCGTTCGTCCACTCCTTCTGTCACTCGAGAACGTTTTTCCAACTCTTACTGGGCTTGCCACGCGATGTGGTTTTGTTTGGGCGAATTGCCGCTAACCCGCTCCGATCAGAATCAGAAGCAGAAGTTCCACCCGTTCTTGACTCGTACCGAGCGATTCACTAAGTACGATCTGAACCGTTTCACAGCCGTAGACGAGACACCTAGTATCTCCAACTTAGCTAGCAGGATTTCATGATCCACCCTGTCAAAAGCGGCTTTTAAGTCCATCAGCATCAACTTGCCATCCAACATCCAAGCTTCGCAGACAGTCAGCGGTAAACTGCACCAGGTTCGTGGAAACCGATCGCTTGGGGTAAAAACCATGTTGGTCCGCATCGATATAATTTTTACAGAACATAAACAGAGCATCATTTACAATAATCTCGAAAAGTTTAGAGCAGGCGCACATGAAGGAAATCTCACGATAATTAGCAACAGGACCAGCGGCGAATGAGTTCTTCATTTTGCGTGTTGCGGCTATCACCATGTCTTCAGTGATGTGAGGTATGTCAAAACTAAAAACATCACGTGGCATCCCGGAGGTTGCGACCAACACCTGTGTCGGTGAAGCGGAAAAATCGTGGAAGACTTGTTTGAATTGACGAGCAAACAAGCTGCATTTTTCACTTTCGCTGCAGGCCGTATCAACCCCGAGGAACATGGAACAAGGCAGCCCGGATTCTTTCCGTTTTGAATTTACAAACGACCAAAAACCTTTCGGGTTCGACCGAAGGTTCGCTTCCGTGCGTCTCACGTGCCGATTATAGAGGAAGTGGTTGTAGTTTCGATAGCGACGACTTGCGAAATTAAACTGTTGCTTGTAGAACGGTGAGCGAGAGCTGCAGTACCTTCGGAGTGCGGCGGAGCGCTGACGTTTTAGTTTACGTAGGCGTGGGTTCGACCATGGAGGCTTCTGCGGGGGACGTCTTGCTGGGACAGTGCGGAAAATAACTTCTTCCAGCGCAGAGCTGAAACAATCCACAGCATCATTGACACTAGCGGCCGTTTCGATACAGTGCCAATCTATTTCCGCAAGCGCATTGTTCAATGCAATGCAATCGGCCCGGCGAAAGTCCAGAAAGCAGCACTCGGAAAACGATATATATATTCAATTGGAGTGGATAAACTTAGTGACACGACGAGAGCGGGATGGTCGGCATCTAGATCAATCAGTGGCACGACCGGTAGAGAAACAGAAGTGTCTGGTAATGCTGAGTCATTTGCCAGAACAAGATCTAACAAACGTCCATTACGGTTGGGAAAAATGTTCGCCTGAGTGAACCCATGAATCCCTCCAGAAGTTCACAGCAAGCAACCGGCATATGCGATAGCAGAGGATAAATGAATGGTGTGCCACTGTCAGAGAAACGCCACTGTAAACCAGCTTGGTTGTAGTCGCCAAATAGGAGAGCGGGAGAATTGGGCCACAATTGAGACGAAATCGAGCCCAACGAATTAACGTGCTCATGGATGATCGTGCAGTCGTTTTTTCGGTCGGGTGGTAGGTACACTGCGCCTACACTGAGCTTGGTTCTTGACAGATCCACAACAATCCAGATTTGCTCTAGCAGACTTGAAATGGGCGAGGTACTTACATAGCTGGTCAGTTTCGTTGTGACGGCAATCAGAACACCACCACCACGCAATTTTTGACTGTTTAGGGGAGAGCGGTCGGTTCTGAAGACGGAATAATGCGATCCAAACAGCTGCGGTGAGTAAATCCGGTCATCCAGCCGTTTCTGTCAGAACAATCAAATCTTACTCAGCCTCCGAAACAGCCAGGAAAAACGGGTCGATTTTAGTCCGCAACCCACGCACATTTTGGTAGTAAATCCGGAGACCACTCAAGATGCCACTACGCGAATTGGAAGTTGAAGGGAAATCAGTTACCGAAAGTTCGAAATCGCAATTATACTCGCCTGGAGTTGCAGGCCGATACCACCACCGACCACAGGACCGGGACGATGACGATGGCGGATGTAAGCAGCAAGCGCGACTGGGTCGGGGGGCTCGGGAGCTTCCTTAGTGCCTGTTTTAGGGTGTTCCGGATCCGATGAAGTTGTGGCGATGGTGTCAACAGCTGGAGAAACGTAGTACGCTAGTTTTTTGCCGAATCAATAAACTCGCGAAACTGTAATCCGGCAGGCCAGGAATCCGGATCGAGTGCAGCATCTTTCAAACAAGGATCCAAACCGATCTTGAATGACACAAATGTCATACTGGATACGACTTTGCCTCTGGGAACCAAACGCACCACATCGACAGGTTCAGTTAAGCTCAAGCAGTGTGACACAATACTCTGCACGTCGTTATCAGTGATGAGCGGGTTCAGGCGAGAAAGATATAGCCAGAATTTCTCCGGAGGTGCACTAGGAGCAATAGAGGGAACGGAAAGACCACTCAAGTCAATTGTTTTCGTTCCATTTACGGTTGGCACGTCAATATCAGGCCGGTCTTCACGACGGCGTTCTGCACCCGGCTTGGGCCAAACTGGTGTAGCACTCAGTGACGGGTTGCGTTGTGGCTTAGCAGAGAAATTGTCGACTTTTTTACTTAGCTCATGCAGTTGCCGAACCTGATCTGGCAACGAAGCAAGCGAGGGGGGTTGCATTTGTTGTTGCTGCTGATCGTCGATGAAACAGCGGATAGAGCGGCTCTGTAGAACCCCACGACAGGAATTGCAAAATTGTGATATGTTTTGAAAATTGGTGTCGTGCGTCTTGACCATATTGTACCATGAAACAGGCGTTTTGCCCCGCTATCATTTTTCGATTTAAAATATGCCTTGAAAATCATGACACATCATCGATTTGTAGTTCGGAACCACTCGATATTCTTAAAAAAAAAAACATTGTAATGAACCATGCTCAATTACTTTCTCCTTCATTTTAGCTTCCATACGCCAGCAATTTTCGATTTTCCTACCCTACTTAGTAAAGTAGCGTGATTTCCGAAAGTTTAAAACTGTTTCTTTTTTCATTATTTCAGATGCCTCATTAGAGGGGTCCAAAACAAATCCATCACCACTGTCGGCTCCACCTGCACCTCCACCTCCACCTGCTCCCATCACGCCCCCTCAACTTCCACCCTTAATAGCAGGACCAACTCCTCTTCCACCAACAACCTCAGCGAGCCCCAGCAATCCATTGACCATTTTGCCTGCTGAATCACCGCCAGATGCTTCTCCAGCAATGCAGTACATGCCAAACATTCAGTCTCATTACCCTCCTCCACCAGCGAATGGTGAAACTCGGTTCAACGACTCACCCCCATCAAACCAACCCATACCTTCAGCTGAACTATTTCCATTTCCGCCAAATATTCATTCTCACTACCATCCTCAACCAATGGACGACTATTTTCAAATGAACGGACTCACAAGCTATCTTCCTCCACCGACCGGACCCAACGACTCCTATCTTCCTCCTCCATCCGGAATGTCGGCTGATTCCATGGAATCAGGCCCACCAAGCTCATCAAACACCTCCGACGATACGATCGGAACGATCCCCATGGGTCCAGATTCTCCATACACTGCCTATCTACCACCATCCGATCCTCAAAGCCCAGGACTGAAGGACATGATGATGGGCATGCCACCCGGCCCGCCAATGAGCGGTCCTTCCATGAACATTCCTTTCAACTTCCCTGGATATGAGTACAACCATCCTCACGATCACTTCCCGGAGTACGTCTTCGATCACGACCACGACCACGATCACCACTATGACCATGACCATGATCACCACCACGACGAACCACCACCAACGACTCCGGCACCTCCACCACCACCACCACCACCACCACCCAAAAACTACAACTACCACTACTACTACATTAGTCGATTTCTGTGGTACACCCCGCTGTGGGCGACCATTTACTTCTCCTTCTATCTTCTGATTCTGATTCTACGTGGCATCGGGAGACATGTGGTGAGTTTGAAGATAATCCAGACCAACCAGGCGCAGCAATTTGTTCACAATTTAAATTTTCTCCCAAGGTCAACTATCCCAACAAATATATCGGCAGCAACGTAGCAGTATCAAGGTCACTACAGGACATGCAATTCATGACGAACGAACAGGCAGCCCACAAGGCGGATGTGATGACACAATTCGTGATGAAACAGATCGACGATTTCAAAGAGAAATACATAAGATAGCGGGTCGACTTGAGATACCTACTTCGGTAAAACCCATGAGAATGGGCAACAATTGGTCACTAGACATTTTTCGAACGGATTCTGTTGATCTCCCGTTATCGATGACAGCAAACTCGTGAAAGATGTTTACTGAGCACTGCATTGACTGATTATACCAATAAACCATTATGACATAAACGTAGAAAAACAGTGTTATTTACCAAAGAACTTACTAATTTTCGTACCTAAATCTCAACTACCTACTATTCGATCAATGCTGATCTTTCTCCTTCGGAGGTGGATGATTTTTCAAAGATTCACTTGACGGTAAGTGCTGCTCCTATAAGTTACTCCCCCCCTAGAGAAATACCTGTCAAGCACCGCAACATTACACTGGAGTCGCTTTTTACGCGGGTGATACGTCCCGCGTAAAAAAAAACCGCGTAAAAAAAAACCGCGTAAATTCCGGAATCCGCGTAAAAAAAACCGCGTAAATTCCGAAATCCGCGTAAAAAAAAACCGAGTAAAAAAAGACCGTGTAAGAAAAAACCGCGTAAAAAGCGATATACCGCGTAAATTCTGAAATCCGCGTAAAAAAAAAACCAAAATCCGCGTAAAAAAAAACCGCGTAAATTCCGGAATCCGCGTAAAAAAAAACCGCGTAAATTCCGAAATCCGCGTAAAAAAAAACCGCGTAAAAAAAAACCGTGTAAAAAAAAACCGCGTAAAAAGCGACTCCAGTGTATCTGGGTATCAAGGGAATGCAGCATGTTGTCCTCCTCCAATTCTCTTTCTCATACCCCCTTCGATCATAACACGTTCCATTGCTTTAAGACCGATCGTAAATTATCAAGAGAGTGAAGAAGTCCAAGGCAAAGTTAGCAAAACCGTACTGTCTTCGTTGGTGGGAAATCTAGCTCAACAAACTTTAGAAAGTGAGAACAACCACCACGGCGCACTCTTTGCACGGCGTCAAATGCGGTGATACTTAGCACCTTTCTGACGGCGTGAAAACGAAATTTCTCCCTCTATCTAGATCACCCAGATTATAGCCTAGCTGGGGCCGAATGAAAGGTTCTTCTTGAGCAGCATCCCAGCCGCAATCGAGCATTAAATTTTAAAGTGACATACTGATCGGACGCATTTCGCATGTGCCGACGGGTCTGACCTTCCAATCGGTTCATATAGCATAGTGAAAGACAATGAATTGTAGTACGTTCTGGAAGTGAGAAGTGAACTATTAGGCCTATAAGCATTAAGAATTGTCCACTGTCCGGATGAGACGAAGAATGAAAGTGAGATTGCCTTTGAGTGGACTGCTATTGGGTGTGCTGCTGTCAAGTCATGTAGAGGCCGGAATAGTACAGATCAGCGCATACGGCAACGTTTCCAGTCAAGGATACTCCCCGATGGGCAATAGGTCTGATGAAAGGTTAGTGAACCATGGCGAAAGATTGAGAAGGATATGACTGATAACATTTGGATCTAATTCCAGTGCTGGAACTAGCCGCACCATGAGTGATGGTGGAGCCTATCGAAATATTTTCGATGGATTGCTCACGAAGCCTGTAAATTTTGGAACCAGCAGCTTCCAGAATTCGTACAAACTACCAAAATACATTGTTTATCCCAGCAACAGCCAAGCTGTGTATCCTCCACAACCATCGAGAGATGGTGAGATCTTTAAATTAAAACGATGATGCAGAGCATGTTGTAAATTTTATAATTGTGAATGTTTCAGCTGTAGCCTCGGACCGATTCGCTCCAGGAGAAGCATATGGTGGAACCGTTTACAAAATATTAAAAGCTAAACAGGAAAAACGAAAAGGATATCAGTACCAGAAGCCAAATGGTAAGTTATGTTTAGTCATTGATAAATCAGTTGTTCAGAAGAGAATGCATGTTTTGAACGTCGTTTGTCGTATCGACAAATAACATTAAGTTGCATGCCGCACAAAAGCCCACCCATTTTTTGGGAAAGTGTCTGCCGAGCACCGTCTTCAAGTAGGGGAAATGGTAGGAAAATGCCCATTATAAGAAAGATTCCCGTTTAATCCACAAAGAGAATCAATATGTAAGTGCAATGCCATCTAACAATTGATTTGTTTAAGGAAATTTTAAATTTTTAACCAGTATTATCCTTGGATAAAATCCTGATCACGAATGTCAAGCTGTTAAGATGTCGACGTCGCTGTTAATCAATACGATCATTAACAAACATTTGGCAGATCCTTCAATCATGGCCGGTATTAAAAGCTGATCCGAGTTTGAGCTTACTGCCATTAGAGTAACAAATATTAAGGCAATTATGCGCGGCGTGTAAGGTGAGGTGACAGCAGCGTTGCCAGATATACCGATTTATCGGTATTTATACCGATTTCCGAACTAGATACCGATACACAGATAAGGTTCCTCAGAATACCGATTTTTAAGATTTTATACCGGTTTATACCGTTTTTTTGTATAATCAAAATTATTATTGCCTGTCCGCGCTCGAATTTTGGAGAAATAATTTGTGAGAGACTTGTATCTTTTTGAATACCCAATATTTGTTGAGCCTTCAAAATTCTAAACAATCATCTCTAAAGATGCCTTATGCTTGAAACTCTTTCGACTAATGTTTGCATTTCCTCATCGTTTGTGGCACCCATCAATCGAGAAATAGTCGAAGGCTCTTTCCGGTAATTCCTAGGGAATCGAGAAATATGTTTTAAACATTAACTTCTTGAAGTTTCATCCAACTTTCCCTGGAGTTTTCTTCCACCTTACCTTGGAAGCTTCTTCACCCTTCGCTCGAATGATTCTTTCATCTTCTCCCGCCAGTTTTTTTTTTTCATGTTTCCCGGAGCTTCAAGGATGCTATCAGATTTTTATTGCGGATCCACAATAGCTGTAGGCACATTTAAGAAGTTCTGAAACTTCAGAAAAGTCCAGACTTTTGTGTAAGTTTCGATAAATTAAAGACAGTTTCATTGACTTCTGTTAAAATTCGAAAACCCGGGAATTTCAGTAAAGTCCAGCGGAAACTTCAAAAGTCCAAAGAACTTCAGGGAAAATCAATGGTTTTCAGTAACTTTAGTGAAGCTTTAAATTGCTGAAATTATAAAGGAGTTCCGAGAAACTCAGGCAATTTCCGAAAACTTCAGCAACGTCCTGAAGGGCTCATGCAAATTTAGGAAACGTGATGGAAGTTACATGAACATTGGAACATTGTGAAAACATTTTATGGGAAGTTCTATGCTTTTTAATGGCAGTGTCGATAGCTTTTAAAAATTAAAAAAAATGGGAAGATCACTGAACTTCCCATCCGGATGTTAAAATAAATTCAAGCAAATTGTGAGAGCACTTACGAGATTTCTTAATCTTCAAAAAAGTCCAGAGACCTTCAAAGATGATTAGAGATATTCTGGTAGTCTTATTATAATCAGGGAAGTTCCGAGCTCTTCGAGGATGACCAGAGAACTCCTAAACAGCCCCTAATTTCAGGAAAATTACATGAACTTTTAAGGAATTTCGAGGAATTATGGAATATTCCTAAGTGCAGTTCAGAAATGTTCCGAAAACTTCAGGGAAATTGCGGAGTCTTCAGGGATGTTTTATGAATATCAGGAAAATTTTCTGGATCATTAGAACATCCCCAAGGAATCTATTTGCTTCTTTCGACTGTTCCGTAAGCGCTCTGGCTTCCAACTTTCATAAGATGTTTCTTCCAATCTACCTCAGGAAGTTTCTGCCTCGTCTTCTCGAGGAAGTTCATTTAATTCTCCCAGAAATTTCTTTCGTCTTCTTCTGGAAGTTTGATCATAAGCCAAAGGTTTTTTTTTTTTGTGTGACATCCGATTTTTTCCGATAGTTTATTTAAATTTTCGCCACAAGTTTCTCAATTCGTGTCTTGGAAGTTTTCCGGATGTTTTTCCAACTTTTCTTAGAACTTCCCTCAAAACTTCAGCCAGGAGAGCTTCTTTCGTCTTTCTCTGCATGTTTTTTTCGGCTTCGTTCAGGAGCTAAATCAAACATTCCCCGGAGTTATCTTCCGGAATTTTCCGATCATTGTACAAAAGTTAAAATTATGCTTTGATTAACGGCTTTCTCAGTCTTCAAACACTGCCACGACTACGATGTAATCTGATGGACATTTCGGCCATGGGTTGTGGCCTTTTTCAAGTTAAAATATTGTTCGTCGTTATTGTCAATAGTTTAGTCGTTGTTGTGGCTGATTTATCATATTTTGGTTTAATTTAATGATATTTAAAAAAAAAACTATTTTCTCCCAATTTTCATCGCCGCTTGAGGACAACGATAATTTTAAAAATCAAATTAAAAAAAATTAAGACTGTTTTAAGACTAAGAAAGCCGTAAAACAAAGCAATTTATGTAAAAATGCAGTAGTATGGGGCATTAGAGTGATGCAAAATTTGAAATTTTCGCTCCACAATACTTAAACGATTCCTAATCTGATCCTGACTAACCTCTCAAAATTTGAACCCATTTGGTGAGAAACTGAGATGGCACAAACCATTTGAAGTTTGTATGGGAATTACTATGGTAAAACCAAGAGTTTTGTTCATGTCTATCTTATAATTCACCATATCGGTTTTCTTCAAAAACTTTCAACTGTTCTTGTAGAAAATTTTCCCAGCTACAACTTTGCTGAAGACCATTTTTTGATTAAATTCAAAGTAACGAAAGTTATCAATGGTTCAATGCACTGATGTCTTATGATCATGCTCAATCAACTGATCAGCAGGCAACATAGGTGTTTCTGGGGCGTTGAATAGGACACAAAAATCATGGCTACTATGTCACACTGCAAAATACAGTGTTGCCTACAAAGCAGCTGCTTGATCATGTCATAAGTTTACCAATCTCTTAAATAATTAATAACTTTTTTCTGTCTCGTTTTACATAGAAACGATTTTCAGCAAAGTTGTAGCTGAGAAAATTTTCTATAAGAATAGCTATCGAACTGTTTCGCAGCTCAATATAGAAAAAGACTAGAAGGCAATGAACAAAAAGTTGAGATTTCCCATAGTAATTTACATGTAAACTTCAAATGGTTTGTGCGAAGTCTGTTTCTAACCAAATGAGTTGTAACATTTGGAGGCTAATCAATACCCGATTTGAAACCATTTAAGCACTGTGGAGCGAAAAAGTCAAATTTTGCATCAGTCTAATGGGGCATCCCAACCACTCCCGATGAAAATGTGTCCCAGTTAATTGGAAAACTACTCCTGTGTTTAGGGCTGAGTGAATGTTCTGGACTTGTGGCATCTGCTGAGCGGATGTTTCTATATAGCAAAACTAGTAATGCTCTGGTTCCTATCAGAATTGTTTTCCGTGATAAGGATTCGAAAGAGGTAGTGTTAAACAAGAAAAAACAATTTGGAAAATTATTGTCGACTGTGATTGATGCAAAATTCATTGTTAACGGAAGAGCAATGAACGTGACCTTGCGTGATGAACTAACTCCGTTTGCTCTTGAATTACTCAAAGATCTTAGAGATTCCCAAGAACTGCTGAATATAAAGTACGTTTGGGTGGGTAGTGGTGGCGTCATATTGGCTAAGAAAGATGACAATAGCAAACCAGAATTGGTAAAAAACAGAGTAGATCTTAGCCGTGTCAAAAGTCTTTTTATGAAACCTGCACGTGAGAATGAATCTCCTTCGCCCAAGCGGAAGAAAAATACACATTAATATCAATTTTCGCTCTTTGTTTTTGATTTCTGTTATGTTTCTATGTGAGTAAAATGGATTCTACACCGATTACGATTTTGTATAAATATTATGATAATTTGCATGATTTTAATAAAAAATGCGATGTGGATGGCGCTAATCGTTTGAATAGAATTGAGTGGAATGTTAGAGAGATAAATGATTTTGAAAAATTTGATGAGGTGATTTATTTTGTGAATGAATGTAAAATGGATAATGATGTTATTGTTGTCGAAGAAACTTGGATGAAGAAGGAGAATAGCAGTATTTACAATATTCCAGGCTATCGCGCATGTTTCTCATGCCGTGATACATCTTCAGGTGGTTTAGCTGTATTTGTAAAAAGTTCTTTGGATAACAAATTGATAGACAGTCAAACAATCAATGGCCTGCATTACGTCCATTTAGAGATCAAGTTCCGGGGCCATATGTTATGTAACGTTATTGGTACTTATCGCCCACCTTCGTTTGATTACAACGAGTTTCAGAATATTTAAGAAGGCTGGCTATCTAGTGCTACTCCGTCTAAACCTTTTTTCATTGTTGGTGATGCAAATGTCCCAATTAATCTGCAAAACAATAACGTAGTAGTTAGATACAAAAATTTATTAGAATCTTACGGCTATGTAAGCACCAATACTTTTCCAACACGTCCAGCAAGCAACAATATTTTAGATCATTTTATTTGCCCGATCGAACTTGCTGTGAATCTGCAGAATTACACTATTTTCAGTGATATTAGCGACCATCTTCCTGTTATTTCGTCTCTCCCCCTGAGTAATGGAAAGAGGCAACAAGAACTGAGAATGAACTCTATCGATCGTGTTAAGTTCCAACATAAATTTTCTATGTTTTTGAATAATCTTCAAATTACTCGTGATGTTGAAGCTACTCTAAATATTCTGATTGCAACCTATAATAAACTGTTAACTGAGTGCACCAGATCATTCACTAAAATTGTCAGAGTAAAAGGTGAGCATTGTCCTTGGATGGCAAATAGCATTTGGCGGCGGATCCAAATAATGAATAATTACCTCGAAAAAGTCAAAAGCAATCCTAATGATGTGCATGTTCGTGAAATGCTGGTTCATGTTTCAAAAAAAGTGAAAACTGCTAAGCAACGGTGCAAAAAAGAATA